GCTGCATATCTTGGAATGGTTAACCAAGAATTTGTTGAAATGATTTCAAAAAAATTGCCTGTGGAATAAGAACAGTACGCTCAATCAAAAATTCAAAAGCGCCGCTTCCAATCAAAACAAGACTACTATTTGTTTATAAATGCACTTATTGTTATTAGTCACCTTCACTACCTTGCTGATATTTTTCTTTTCACTCATTAATATTATTTGTTCATAATGAAAAGGTACAGCATGACATAAGCTTGTACATTTGAAGTTGTTTTCTTCTGACAAATAAAGTGTTTTTTTTTTAAGATCCGGAACTGTAGTTAATGGCACAATGCTGTTAGTAGAGAGAAGAGAGAAAAGGCTTGTCATAGATTTTTCATCCATTATTCAGACTAAGAAGTATGAGAAATTTAGTCTAATGTTTTAGACAACTAATTTCAAAAAAAAAGTTTGAATGACTTACACAAAAATGAAAAATGAGGGTTGAACTTTGGAAAACAAATGTTAAATTTTGAATTTTCTGTTTAAAATTCCTTTTTCATAAAGAACAGTTGTAATTGCTTTTTTAATATTAATTTTATTTTCTAAAACACTCCTGTTATTGCCAGAAGAAAATTGAAGCGAAGTGCATTAACCAATACTAATATGTTGGGGAAGATGTCTTTTAGTGAACTTTCAATTCCAGTACTACAACTTTGACCTTTGAAATAAAAGTCATCATGATTTTCTAAAAACAGTCCTCAAATATTGGACTGCAGAAACTAAGCATTTATTTCAAAGCAAAAAAATGATAAAAGTTAGGTTTTTACTTCCATGTTAATTAGTCATAACTGAGAATGGTTACCGAAAAACTGGTCACTCTCCGTCTAAAAATCAACTATATTAAGTAACCAGTGGTTGAAAAAGATTTTTACGAAGATAAAAGACTGACGAAATTGATTCAAATAAATCAAAATATATTAGATTGAATCTAACAAATTTTGACTGAATTTTAAAACTTCATTACCATACCTTTCAAAACTGGACAGAGGCGTTTTGAAAAAATACCATTGGTGGGGTTTTGATGCTTCTAATATAAGATTGAGATATTAAGTAAAAACCTTTTGACGTTTACAAAAAAATATGGTATTGCGAAGAAAATTCGTAAGCCTAGAAGACAATCAAAAGTAAGTTTCTCTCTACAGGGCGTTTTTAAACACCTTTTTTGAATAATATCTCATTTCACTTACGCTAAAACCAATTATAGCTTTCTTTGTTTTTTTGCAATGAATTGTCGAACTCTGATGATACAATTTCATACGTTCAATTGTTTGTTGCGTTGATTTTCAGTAACCAATCAAAACAGAAAAATGAAAAGTTTAAGAATGTTCATTTTTTCTAATTGGTTCAAGATTTGACAAAAACTGAATCTGACATCAGTTTCATAGAATGGAAAAAAAATTTTGGTGCAATTTGTTTTAAAAAAATTTGAAACCAAAGTTTCCACTAGAAAGCGAATCAATTCATTTGATAAAAAGTTAAGGAGGAATACAGTGTCAGTTGAAGTTATTTTTACATTAGCTGACCTTTTGATTGAATTTTTCGTTTGTTACAATTTATGCATAAGTTCATGCAAATTTTGTCAGAATCATTTTGTCTAATCTTGACCCAATTAGAATAAAGTAAAATACAAAATTTAAGTTTTCTTTGTTTTGATCGGTTTTTGTAAATCAGGACTGTAAAACTTTGCTTACCACATGTGCAATCAGTTTTCTAAAAGTCACAAAAATGCTTCAGCAAAAACAATCCAACGTATAAATTATATCACAAAAGTTTCGCAACTGACCACAAAAAGAATGGTTGCAAGAACTTATTTATTAGTGAAATGAGAGATTAAAAAAATTTTGAAAGCGCCTCGTATTTCTGTGTTATTAAACTTAAAATGAAATCAATTGGGATAACATTACCAATAATTTTGTTTTCAAGATACACTAGTGGACAAAATTAAGCGCATTATCAGGATTTTACTCTGTAAAATGCTTGTTTTCAATGTTTGTTTTGAACAACATTTCTTTCGAAATTTTCAGTGACTAACCAATGTAATCCGTGTCTAAAAAAGCCAGTTTTCTTCATCTGCATCGTAGTGAAATTTTTCTTGAATACGCGGAGAAAAAAATTGTTCATGCAACGTGAAACATTCTCAGCGAGAAAATTGAAAGAATGAGTGTGAAATTTTCGCTAAACACAGACATTTTTGATTTATTCGCGCGAAGTAAAAAAAACCTAGTGCAGATGATGAAAAGTGGCATTTTTAGACCCGGATTACATTGGTCAGTCATTGAAACCAAATAATGATACTTTCACTGATGGTAGCTCTGATCATTCGCTCCTTGTCTATGTAAAAATTTTACTGAATTTCGAAGGAAGTATTGTGCAAAATGTACATTGAAAACAGGCATTTTACAGGGTAAAATTTAGAATTTGCGCTAAATTTTGTCCACTAGTGTAAGAATTTACGCAATTATTCTCTACACAGCTCATAATAATGAAAAAAAAACATTTTGCTAGAATACCAAAAAGGCTAGTTAGATTTTCTGAATTAAAAGAATAATTTTATCGAAAATTTGTTATCACAAGCGTACAGATTTTGTATAGGATGCAGAAATAAAATTAATTGATTGTTTAAACGTTTCTATAAGCCGTCGATTAATTTTCTGTCCAAAGCATAGAAATGAATAAATAATAAATGAACCTTATTTTGATTTCTTTCTTGTTGTGGCTAGCCATTTGTTTTGTGTTTTGCAATCAAGAGTTACGTTTGTTTTTTAAAAATGCATCAAGTTGTTCTTGATCGCTGATTATTTCATTGATTAATACAAACGGGTACAGCTTCATTATGATGTTAGTCAAAAAACTTTGCTGTTTTATTTTTCAGTTTTAACTAATTCTATTTAATAAGCACTTCCATATTTCTGCAGCGCGTATTGATAAATTGTGTGAACTTACGTTTATCAAAAGATTAGAAATTGGTTTTGAGTAAATATCTGACTCAAATGGTATTTAACGGTTGCGTTTTGAAATGACTTTTTAAAATTAATAATGTACATTTGTCCCTGCTTTTCTTGGCATTTGAATCCGGCACCCTAAAAAATAAACAATTTTGAAGCAAGATGCACAAGAAATACTGCTTTCAAATGGTGTGGCATCAAAATAACTGAACTTTAAGAAAATTACCAGTGCGGAATATCATCTGATTAACAAATTGAAAAACATAAAAAATATTCCTAGTCCTGAAAAATTGAAATCAGGGTGGGTCAGTTTTTTTTCCTTAGGTGGATCTTAGTTTCATATAAATTAGAAGCAGTCAAATTTAGTTTCATGTAGAGGTATTGCAAGAAAAAAATACCTAATGACACGACAAAAGGTGTTTTTGGTCACTTTTTGGGACAAGGGTACCGTCTTCTTGGAGGGGGAAGAGTGTCCATATTTGATGATGATGCATGAATTAAAAATTATGAACATGTACGTTCAGGACAAAATTAGACAGCATTTTTCAATTTTTGAACACAATAGTTCTAATGGTAAGGTTTTCAAGGGCGAATTTAGAAGGGAGAGAGAGGTCGAAGGCTCAACAGCCATTCCCCAACCCCCCCCCCCCCCCCCCCTTCCCCCTCCCTCTCTCTCAGGGATTTGACCCCCTCACCAAGCAAAGGGTCCCCCCTTGGTATTATTTTATAACATCCATTTTAGGCCGACTAACCCTATAACTTTTCTAGGGCAGCCTTGAGCGCCAGTATAAACTAACTTTGAGGGTGAAAAACGCAATTTGATGTTCAAATTTTCCAAAAACGATCAAAAACGGCTTTTTTGACCTGTTTTTTTTTCAAAAGTTTGCCAGCATTGCAAAATTTTTGGTTTAAGTGCGGTCTTGGCTCTTTTTCCTCCACCGCCCCCCCCCCCTCCGCCACCGCACCTCACATAAGTATCAATTTCATGGTGTAAAAAGGAGTTTACCGCGTTGAATATGAAGAAGAAATATGCTTGTCATTGCCTAGTAAGTACAGATACCGATTTTTGTAACAACCGGACAATGTGAGCAGAAAAATACTTATAACAAAAACTCGCCGGTGGGGGGAAAGGAGGAAAAAGAACGGGGGTCTTCATAATGTTCTTGGAGTCTCAGATGTTCTCGGATATTCTCGGAAAACCATTTTGGTTGACCTAAAAAAAGGTAGAAAAAAATTAGAAAAATTTACGAAAATCTGCCTTTGCCACGAGAAATCTTAAATCAGCCCCTGAACATTAAATATTATGTAATATATCAAGTTTTCTTGACTTATATTGTCATGGTGCTAGAGGTAGAAACTATTTTCTTATCAAGTTTTCAGATGGTGCAATTTGCATATTATGTCAAATGGTGCATCAATCACAAGCAAGGGTAGACGATTAAAAAAATAATTGAAAAAACGTGGCTATTATGAAGAGAAGGCCCCGGTACAAAAAGCAGTGCCACATTTTTTGAGGCAGTCTGAAACCAACCTTTTTTGTTATCAATATTTACTCAATGAAAAAATGTTGAAAAGTTGCTTTTATTTTTGTTTTTAGTGGAGACAAAATGTTAAATTTGAATCGTAATTTGGCACAATCGGCTGTCCACGGAGACTCAGAAATCAACTTGATCCACCTCAAAAAACATATATATTCCTAGTGCACTCCCATAAGCAATTAAGTACCTAGACGTGACCCAGACGTGACCGACTTTTCTGGTTATCCTAATTTTCTGTCCTTCACCTTTATACGGGAAATATTGCATTCAAATGAGCTCAACTGACCCACCCTGTAAATACCTCAAAGTTTCCCCTCTGCCTATGTAAAATGGTCATTTCACGGTAACTTTATGTATAGCAGCCGCGTCTTCTCAGATTTTGCGAAGAAAAGCAGGGAATTCTACCACATATTTGTATAATGAATTCCCTCTCCTGTTTTCTACACGCGGAGAGAAAGATACATTTTCCATATATGGAATACAGAGGCAGTCCCTGATATTCCTTTCCCTTTCAGTCGAATAATCCCTTCAAAATTTGTTCACGTGTCGCACATTGTCGTAGGAATAAACGCAGTCCGTTCAAAGCTTCTTCAGTTTTTCACAACACGTTATCCCCTTTCCCTTCAGTCGCGCGTGTTTTATACTCTTGAAGCATTGCATGCTCATTTTGTTTTGTCCGCCGCAGTTTTTTCCTGCAGAAAAAAATTGACATCTGCTTATTTGTGTACGTAAATGCATTTTGCAGTTTGCAGAAAAAAAAACAACAAAAAATGCATTTGTGATAATATAATTGAACTGCAGTGTTTTTGCAACAGAAAAATATTGTCCTCTTCAACTCATTTTTATCAGTATTTCCTTAGCGCAGTTATTGCGAACTAAATTGAGCAGAAATTACCAACTTTGGTCTTCCCAAGATGCAATTGGCTGCATAAGGTAAGATTATTTTCAGAAAAGTATTTCTCAATTGATAAAATATTTTAGTTTTTTGACGTCGTTTTTCAATTTGTAACTTATTTGAACCATACGGTAAAAAAAAAATTAAAATTTTGAATCATCTGACTTTCTGACACTTTATTCAGATTTCACTTAGAGATGCACTGCAAACCTCTAAAAAACTGAGCAGTAAAATCGAACTGTAAAATTTTTATATCTAATTATTTTGTTTTAGGCATACCAAGAAATTTTCGCCTACGTTGCTGCTCGAAATGTTTCCAAGTTACTGATTACAATTGACATAGTTTTTTTTCAGGTTTAAAAAATGTAAATACAACCTATTTACTTACACCTCTGAGTTATACTGATCAATGAGGTTGTGAATTCCCATTTACTCTAACGTTCATTAGTACAAGTAGGACAAATCAATTCATTATGTACCAAATTTATATGTTTATCATTGTAAAAAGGTCAAAAGTTTAGCCACTTCGTTATTTAATTATCTAACGTTGAGCAAATGGAAAAATTGTGGCCAGAGCTCAATATCCGAAAAAAAAATGCCCAAAATGTGAATAAGACTCGATTTGAAATTTTGCACGCTGACACCTCAGAATTTAGTTCAGCATTTTAATTGCATTTTGCGGAGCTAAAAAATTTTAGTTCGGCATTTTGGGGCGTTCAAGAGTACCGAAGTACAGCAATGCCGAAAAAGGCGGGAAATTTTCAGAATAATTTAAACGCATTTTCTAACATTTTCTTAAAAGCGGGAAGTTACTGAGGCTATTTAACAAAAAAAATTCACTCCAATTTTTGGCGGCAAAATGTCTGCATCTGCAACTGGTGGCGTCCCTCATGCTTGAAGGAACGAATGCTTGAAATTACTTTTAGCTTACTTTCAGCCAATCAGAATTGAGTATTCAAAATCTTGAAGAAAATCGCGAAAATTTCAAAGTAAGAAAATAAATCCAGACCATTAATACAGTGCTGATTTAAATTATCCGGACAAAACGAACAAAATTTGAATTTTGAAACGCGTTTTTCTCAAATTGGGTTGAGATTAGACAACAAGTGAACAGAACAAAAATTGCTTAGATTTTCACCAGAATTAATATGGCGTCATTTTTTTCGAAATTCTCAACAAAAATTTTCCCCGAAAAATGGGTCATTTTGGCTTTTTTCACTTAATCAAGAATTACGCTGAAACTATTTTGTTAATTGATAAGGAAAAATACTTCACAAGAAGCCTCTTACACAGTCCAACAAAGTTTAAGAGGGGTTAAATCTCCATAAACCTGTATCAGAGAAAAAAAAAACTAGTTGATAGTCAAAAAATGTGATTTTTACTATATAAAACCCAGAATTTTTGCTTAATAAGAAGTTTTAAACAATTTGCGCAAACTTTTGGAGATAACACCCTTCTTAAAGTTTGTTGGGCTACGTAAGGGGCTGACTTTGATATAATTATGTCTGCGATCGAGTGGGTATTTTCGGCGTAATTTTTGATTAACTAAGAAAGGCCGAAATGACCCATTTTTGGGGTAAAATTTTGGGCCCGAATTTCGCAAAAAAAATTACACCATATCAATTCTGCTAAAACTTTAAGCAAGTTTTTTTTTCATAAGTTTTCACCTAAATTTGACCCAATTTGAGAAAAACGGGTTTTAAATTTCAAGTTTAACGCGTTTTGTCCGGTTAATTTAAATCAGCACTGTATTGACCGATTAGATAATATGCAGATGAGTTTTCAAGACTGGGAAATTCTTATGATTTTGAACACATTAATCTTGATGATTATCTGAACAGTAATGCTGGGGCGTTCAACAGTGCCGAAGTACAACAGTGCCAGAAATGGAAAAGTGTTCAACAGTGCCAAAAATTGATGATTTTCGGCACTGTTGAACTATAATTTTATTTTCGGCACTCTTGTACTTCGGCACTGTTGAACGCCTCTCTGAGGGCAACACAGTAGTGCCGAAATACAACAGTGCCGAAAATAATTTTATTGTTCAACAGTGCCGAAAATCATCAATTTTCGGCACTGTTCAACACTTTTTCATTTTCGGCACTGTTGTACTTCGGCACTATTGTACTGCCCCAATAATGCGGTTGTAACCCGCAATTTGTAATATTTTTGATTACTTTTCACTGATTAAATAGATTTTCTGTTAATAATGACTTCGATTTTGTGAGAAAGGCATTTAGCCAATAGAAACGCTGAGCGATTTTGATTGCTTGAAATTTTTTAAGCATTCGGTCTTTCTAGCATGAGAACCCTCCCCCTGAAAATTGAACAATTATTTTGGGGCCAAAAAGTCTAAATTGCAAATTTTCTTGCTCGAAATCTTAAAGTGGCACTTAAGATCATAAACGTTCGCCGTTTATTTTTTGATTGCCGCACTTAATATGTTGAAACTTGTTCAAATTTTTGGCACTGTTGAACAAGGTTTTCATTTTCGGCACTGTTGAGCTAATTTTTTTTCGGCACTGTTGTACTGCACCGGCATGGATCTACTTAACAATCTCCCCTCCCCCCTTATTGTATCTACTAAAGAATCTCCCCCCCCCTTTCTTGAAAGGGGGAGATTGTTAAGTAGATCACCGGCATTTTAGTTGCGTTTTGCCGAACTTAATAATTTTGACGTTGACGCGAGTTTTTTATCTAGCTGCAAAAAGGACTGAAACTTTATACAGATTTTAATGAACACCAACAAGGGTTTACCTTAAGTATGTTATTGAGAGTGGTGAATAATTCCGCCCTCAAAACTATTTCAACTTGAGTCGTTCTTTCATTGGTTCAAGTTGTGCAAATCTTCGAAGAAAAATTTAAAGAATTTAGTAAACAAAATTCATTTCAGAAAATTTAAGGTCAGTTTGAAATAAGTCATGAGACCGAAGTGAAAGCTGTTGGCGATTAAGTTTTGATGGATATCTTGAATTCAGTTTCATGTGCCATTTTGAGAGTCATAGAACCTCCAGATGCAGGCTTAAGCAATTGATCCATGTGATTTTTTTTCATTTCTTTTTTGAATATTTATCCGTCATCTTTAATTTAAGTTTTTATTTATTCTGGTTCTCATTAAAAAAAAACCTTCAAGTTCAAACTCTTGAATAATTTGCAATTTATTTTTTAGAAATTCGTTTGCGTGTTCGTTTTAAGTGTTCGCATTAGCTTTAGCCTTCTCAATGGAAAAATGCTCAAAATTAAAAGGGTTCAATATTTAAATAAGCAATTAGCATTTATTCTTAACAAAAAGGTCAAGTTTTGTTATTTTGTTTACTGGAATCTTCTTGATGTTCTGATAGTGATTGAAACCATAAAAAATTACACAAAATTTTATATATTTTACAATTTTAGTATTCTAACAAACAAAAGGAAATGAAAAAAAAACACATCACACGGAATAGGAGGAAAACAAGCGAGAAACGCTGAAATTTGACAGTGCCGAAAAATTTATGTAGAAAGATGATTTATGAGCAGGGGGCGGCTCTAGGATTTTCTCGACCTTTTTTTTAATTGACCAAATTGATTTAACGAGCTCTCCCAAAGCACTACAAAGAGCCTGTTTTGGCCAAAATTTCTGCGCCGCAGGCAAAATTTAAAAAAAACAGGCCGAAAAAGGTCTTTTAAGGCACTTTTTGGAAAATTTTGACCAAAAATTTGCGTTTTTTCGGCGCGCGCTCCCCCCCTCAACATTAGTATGTATTGGCGCCTTAGACGCCTTTAGAAAAATTTTACGGTCAGTCAGCCAAAAATTGATATCTCAAAATAGTACAAAGGGGGGACCCTTCGGGTCGGCAGGGGGCTGAATCCCTGGGGGGGTGTCCTCCCTTAAATCCGCTACTGGTTTCAATCAAATAACCGTTCAAGGGTCAAAGTTATAAAAAAAAACTTATTTGATAATTGTTTACCATGAAGCTGCTTGAATCAGTAATGTACCTCTTGGCCGGCTGGTGGGAGGCGACTGACTCACACCACAATTCTGATTGGCAAATTTTTTTTTGCAATTGGAGCACTCTTTGGTATTATGTTACGACAGCAATTTCGGGATGAACAAACTTCGGCTTTGGTATTTCTTTTTTAGAGGAGAGAGTGCTGAAATAACGTGAATTCAAAATTTCTCATAAGCGGGTTAATTTTTTTGGCAAAACAGGATCTTTATAAAACTTTAGTTTTTTCAAAACCACCGTTAAAATTTCTCGTAGCATTGTGGCGCTCCCTTAGAGGTAGTGCCCTGCAATCATATCAACAATTGTACGTTAAACGGCTATACGGTTGAAAGGTTGAACATCACATATAAACGGCTATTTTAATTTCTGCTTGAAATTTTTTTTGTTATTTTACCAGATACAAGAAAAACTTCTGAGACATGCTGCCAGATAGAAAGTTCAGGTCCATTGATTTATCGTATTTTGTCTTTTTTGAGGGAAAAAACTGAATTGTTTTTCATTTTTGTGATAATTTTCATTTTGATTAATTAACTTGATAGTTTTCGTTTTGCTGAAGATATCAATTGTGGTTGCAATCCGGAGTTTTCACGAGGGGGTGCAATTTTGATGCAGAAGAACAGAAGAAACCGAAAGCAATAATCAAAATTTTTAGGAAATGTTTTTGGCAGTAGCGAATTTAGGGGGGGCGAGGTGGCTGACGCCGCATCTCAGGATTCGACCCTCTGCCGTTCCAAAGGGTCCCCTTTTGTACTATTTTGAGATATGCATTTTTGGCTGACTGACCTTAAAATTTTTCTAAAGGCGCCTAAGGCGCCAATACATACTAATTTTGAGGGGGGAGCGCGCGCCAAAAAAAACGCAATTTTTGGTCAAAAATTTCCAAAAAGTGCCTAAAAACGCCTTTTTTGGACTGTGGCGCAGAAAATTTGGCCAAAATAGGGACTAAACCGCGCTGAAGGAGAGCTCAAAAAATCAATTCGGTCGACGTAAAAAAAAAAGGTCGAAAAAATTTTCGAAATTTTTTTGAAAATCCGCCCCCCCCCCCGCTCGAGAAAATCTTAGATCCTCCCCTGATATATAAAGACCGTAAATTGGCCAAATTTTGTGCGACGCAGGCAAATTTTTGAAAAAAGGCCAAAAAAGGCGTTTTTAGGCACTTTTTGGAAAATTTCGACCAAAAAACGCGTTTTTTCGGCGCGAGCTACCCCCTCAAAGTTAGTAAAGATTAGCGCCGAAGGAAAAAAGTAGCTAGATTTAGAAAAAAAAGTAGCTCGCCTGCCATTTTTTCAGGGGCGGATCTAGGATTTTCTCGAGGGGGGTAGATTTTCAAAAAAATTTTGAAAATTTTGTCGACTTTTTTTAGGTCGACCAATTTGATTTTCTGAACTCACCCTAATCACTAGAAATACCCCATTTCAACCAAATTTTCCAAGACGTTTTTAGGCTTTTTGGAAAACTTTGACTAAAAAATTGCGTTTTTTCGGCGCGCGCTCCCCTCTCAAAAATTAGTATATATTGGCGCCCAAGGCGATTTTAGAAAAATATAAGGGTACCTCACCAAAAATAGATATCTCTAAATAGTACAAAGGGGGGACCCTTTGGGTCGGCAGGGGGTCGAATCCCTAAAGAGAAACGTCCGCAATCCCCCCCCCCCCCCCCTAAATACGCTACTGCGTTTTTTAATTTTTTTTTACAACTGACTTTTTTCTTCGAAAACATTGAACTCTGAAGCAGGAGCGGATCTAGGATTTTCTCGAGGGGGATGGGCGGTTTTTGAAAAATAAAATTCGAAAATTTTGGCGGCTTTTTTCAGGTCGACCCAATTGATTTTCCGAGAACAAAGTTTTGCCAAAGTTTCTGCGCGGTAGGCAAATGTTTGACAAAAAAGCAGGCCAAATAATTGCGTTTTTCGGTGCGCGCTCCCCTTCAAAAGCGGACATCTATCATTTTAGCTGTTGTTCGCAATTTGTGCAGGTAGCCACGCGGTCAAACTTCAAACATGTGAACATAGTCTCAAATCAGTCTTGCTTGAGCCTGTGAATTTTTTGAACTATTTTTGGCATATTATTTTCAGAGCCAGGCACGAAACGTCATGTGATATTTTTTGCACTCTGTTGCAAAAATCGTTAATAGTCAAGCCAAAAACAGTCGAACTCAAAAACTGAAAGTAAAATTTACAGTATAAATGCTCTCCGTATCACGTAATAGATAAAATAAAACAACACGTCGCACTTTTACTATTATTATATACGAAAAAGACCGCTGAGCCAACTTTTATTTTTATAACACAATCCAAAAGTTATTTTATTATTATTTTTCTTTCAACTTTATTTTTCAAACCACCAGAAAAAGTAAAACAACCAAGGAAGAAAAATTGTAAACTGCAACTTTTCTTAAATATAATCAATTGTATAATTTGGAATTTGGTCTGTTACAAAAAAGTCATCTTTTTCACAGAAACTGGACATAAAAAAAACATCAGACCAAAAATGACTGAAAACGAAGGACTCAGACCTTATTTGACATCACGGGCTGAACAAACTCATGGAGATGATTCAAACGACATGGTGCTCATGGCAACAGCTGGCAACTCGTCAGTTAAGCAGCCGCCGTTTTTCGTACCTCCGAGTTACCATGACACGACTCAAAACTCCGAACCCCTCCCGTTGACAATCATCCAACCCGAGGACCTAGATCCGAATGACCGGCGACTAGGATTGTACGGCGAAGATGCCGAAGATGAAGACGGGGCGCCTGAGAGGGCCCCCGAAATGGAGGCGGCACCTGACGGAGGGTGGGGATGGTTGATAGTGTTGGCGGCTTTCTTCAACAATATGGTGTTGGACGGGATAGCCTACTCGTGTGGAGTCTACTTCCCCGTGTTCCTTCGGGAGTTCGAGGAGTCGGCGTCCAAGACTGCCTGGATTGGATCACTCTGCTCTGGATGCTATCTTGCTATTTGTAAGTTATAATACCTCTGCAACTTTTGCAATCCTGTTCAATTGTAAAAACAAACGCAAAAATTAATTTTATGCGTTATTTTCTGTTCATCAAGTAGTACGTTGTAAGAAATGAGTTTATTTCCAAAAATTTATTATTTCTTAAAGCATAAATTTTTGAGAATTATATTTCTAGCTTCTACAATTTGTGTTAAAAATTGCATCGTGATCAAAAGAAGTAATTGCTAAACTGAAATTTATTCTAATGGCAAACTTCTCCGTTTCAGCTCCTCTGGCAGCCGCGGCTACAAATATCCTGGGGTGTCGAGTGGTGTCTCTGGTGGGGTGTCTGTGGGCTGCCGCCTCCCTCGCCCTCGCATCCTTCGCCTCCTCGGTCGACATCCTCATCCTCTCTTTCGGCATATCCACAGGCAAGTCACAAACCCTAATGATTACACTTGAACTGGTAGGTGTTGTTTTTTTTCAATTTCTTCCAAATTTAGCAACAAGTCTATACAAATTTAGCATCAAAACAAACCATTGTCATTTTTTATTTGCCAGCAATTTTTTTTAATTCTGATTTTTACAAAAAATCTAGAAAAGCGTGATTAATTATTCATAATTACCCAATTTGGTCTAGATTTTTTGAGCGCGTGCTGTTTACTAAACAAGTTATCCAGATGGGCGCCAAAAACTTTTTGAAAAAAAGATCTTCAAGCTTGTTCGGCCTTAAAAAACGGGCGTAATATCTTTTTAGCACCATGTGGCCTAAACCTTGGGGAAACATTTTGCTACCAGAATCGAGGAAAAGACAACTCTTCATCCTTCAACTCAAATGAAACTTTTTGACTTATGTTCCTAATTTTTCAGGGCTGGCTTTCGGATTCCTCTACTTGCCCTCTCTGGTCATTGTGGGTCTCTGGTTCGAGAAGAAGCGAGGAGTCGCAACCGGAATCACAGTTGCCGGAAGCGGAGTGGGAATGTTTGTGCTGCCTCCCCTCTGCACCCTCATGATTGACCACTGGGGATGGAGATTCTCTATGTATGGTCTAGCAGCTATGGTCTTCCTGTGCGCTCCACTGGCCATGCTTTATAGACCAGTTCCACCGAACTTCAGAAACGGACAGTCCAAAAAAGCCAAAGTGAAGTCCGCTGGAACGCATCACATAAATAAAGAAGTTGAACTGAATGGACACAAGGGCCAAGATTCGAGTCCCACTGAGGAAGAAGATGCGAACTCGTACTCAGAAACTTCTGTCGACGACAGAGCCGAAGGCGAAATTCCTGAGATCCGAGTGAGCGACTTCGAAAAACGAGGAAGCTCGCAAAGTGTCGCGTTTGCTGCTAGCTCCGGACGCACTGGCAGAGGTAAAAACGAACCTATGTTGCTCAAAAAGGCGATGATGAACAGAAAGAAAACTAATGGACTGTGTCAAAGCATGACGACAGTTAATTGTAGTCAAACTGAATCACAAGCCGCGCAACCACAGCTTTCAAAGACTCTAGAGGACCTTAGCGACCGAACGTTTGAAAACTCGGAGTATGGTAACGGCAGCGCACACTTGCAGCACAGCTCGGCCCGTCTCTCGGGTTTTGAGATGAACGCCGAAATCAAAAATGAGATTAGAAACAATCGAGGTCGACCTTCGAACGTTTCGCATTTGAGTGTATCGGCTGCGGAACCCCTTAGAAAGAAGGATTTGTTCTATAGTGTCAGCACTATTAATCTCTCTACGGGAGATATGAACAATAACAACAACAACAATGAAGGCACACGAGAACGAAACGGTTCGGCCCTCGGCGATTTGGGTGACATAATATCTGAACACGAGGATCAGAAGCTACATAGGAAGTTGCATAACAATAAGTTCGTGAACGGACTCATGAACATGCTGGGCCTGGAGATCTTCAAGGACAGGTGTTTCATCATGCTCTTGGTGTCGAGCGTCGTTGGATTCCTGGGTTTGTATGAGTCATTTTAAAATATGTTAAGTTCATTTATTCACGAGGAAAAGGGCCAACATACGAGCTCTTCGGATCTTTACTCTCATGTTTAGTTTATTGCAAATTTCTCGTTTTTTTCTGGGCTGGGTAATTTTTCCTCGCCATCAAGCAACGGTCACGGTGAGTCTCGATCCACTGACCTCTTATTAGTGAGGTGGAAACATGGCCACTCATTCGGTGTCTCCTTTCGCCACAGCCGTTTTTTTTTTTTAACTTTTTTTTTTCAAATTTCTGATTTTTTCATGAGCAGATACTTTCATTTAATGACTATTTCTAGGGCGCGTCTCTTTTTTGAGCAAAATTATTTACAATTTGATTTATCATTTTGCTAGCTACTGCGAAGCAACCAAATGTGTTATTGTTCGTTGGCATTCAAAGTAATCGTTTGGGAACTTTTGCCTATATGTAAGTTATTTGAAATGGAATATGGAAATTGATCATGTCTGCCAGGAGCTGCCGGCTACAAATATTTGCCCGTCAAAGTCCCCGCCTCGTGCTAAGAACCTAAGGGCAAACCGGATTCAATATAAAATATTTCTATTGATTGTTGAATGAGTGTGTCAATCAACTTCATTTGTCAGCGTCAAATCCTTCTTATAATTCAAATACCCTAGTTTTCCTATTTTTCATATTTGTTTTATTCGCCTTTTTCTTCTGCACGACCTCAGAGTGAGAGGAAGGAACATTGCCCTAGCCTGTGTTTTTTCATGCAAAAATCAGATGCCAAACACAAAAGTCAATTAGGGTCGAGTGCTATCATTTGCAAAAAGTTTTCTTGAGGCTTTAGTTCAGTTTTGAACGAAGTGAAAACACTTATTTAAGCACAGTAGTTTTCTTCTTTTCTCAGATTTTTCAAAAAATTGTTAACGCACAAGATTGTTTTATTTTAATTTGAGCTCACTTCAATTAAATTTGCCAAATGGAACGCAAATTGCGCCCTCCAATAATAGAAATGCAAATTCGAAAAAAAAACTTGATTAAAATTTAGTTTAAGCCGATATGAAAGCTCGCGTGAATAATTACGAATTTTATCAGTGTACCAAAAAAGTTTAAAGAAATATTTTCTATTAAGAAAAAACTATAAAAAGTGATCTTTGTTATCGCTAAAACTCGAAGTTTGAAAATTTCTATCGATTTTTTGGTTTCCTTGATTTCAGTGACTATTCCAGTAATCAGTTAACAAGGCTTGTTTGCAGTGATAGCTGGTGTTATCGGAAGTTTTTTTTGCTATTAAAACATTGAGAAGTTTCCTTTCTTATATTTTTTTCTGCTTTTTTTTCAATAAGCGAAATGCTTGGATTGGTAATGATCAAAAATTGATTTCAATAGGCAAGGAAAAAAACGTGTTTTTGTTGTTTCGACTTTCCAAGCTTGTTTCACAAATTTAATTATCACATATGGAAAGCTATCAATCTGAGTCTTACTGCGTTTTCATTTTTTTCAATCTATGTCGAATACTTTTATGATTCAATTTCCGTTATCCATTTCACTGCAGTAACATCATATAAGTCGATAATACTTTATCATACAACATCTAATACTAGTTTATATATTTTTTTCTAATTTCAGAAAAAATAGAGTAACAGATTTCCTTTTCTTTTATATATTCTGCTATAGAGAAATATAAAAAAGTTGTAAAATAAAAGTGTATGTCAAAAGTTAAGACATAAACGAGGGAATGTTTTAGGCTTCTTCGCTCCCTTCGGCTACTTGAGTGCGTTTGCGGCCATCCACGGCATAGATGCGAACAGTGCCTCCTTCCTCATCTCAATCATTGGCATCTCAAATACGATCGGAAGACCCCTCTTCGGACTCCTAGTCTCTCTCAAGGTCAGCGTCTTTTTTCACCCTAGAAAAGAAGCACTGAAGCCTCTCGCTCGAAACTGACTTAAGATAAGCATGAAAATGGGGCTAAGTTATGACGAATGAGTTGCATAACAATTTGAAGTAAAAAGTTTTTTCCAGCTGCTGAAAATAAATATAATGAAACTGTTAAATCACTGTAAGGCGAAGGTTAACTATACCCTATATTTATATTCTGTTTCACTAGATTTTGGACTGTGTTCGTCTGATGAACTGGGCCATGATCGTGGCCGGCTGCTGCACCATAGTCCTGCCCTTCCTCACCTCCTACTGGACAATGGCCTCATACTCTGCCATATTTGGATTGGTTATTGGTGAGTTAATTTGAGAAAAAACTTGCTTAAACAAAAGATGAATAGAGGCTTTTTGAAGATCCATAACTTACCACAATTTCGGTTGCCCCCTCCCCAAAATTTAGTGACAAATTTATGCTCTTAAACCACCGTGTACAATGCTGTATTCTGATTGAGTAAAGAAAAAATTGTTGGCGCCAAGTGAACGATCTTCTCCCCCTAGCTACATGAAAAAGCAAAGAGATCTTAACTTGTTATTAAGAGTCGATGAACGTAGCTCAGACACTTATATAGGTCGCGGTAATTTTTTTAAATTATGAAAGCACAAAGGACCAAACACGATACCATATTTTTAGAACAAAACTTATAGTCATACAAAATTCAAGCTAGCTACGAGATACCTAATTTAAAATCAGTCGAAAGAGTTAATAATAAATCACATGCTGCTATTTTAGTCACCAAGACAATTAATCATTTTCTAACTTCAAACACCTACTCACCAAGAAAACTACTTGTCGAATCATTACAAATTCTGATCAAGACCTTAAATAACTTAAATAGATAGGTTTATTTTCAGTCGCCTTTTTGAAATTTTTCAACAATAGCGGTTCGATAAAACTGAATTGAATGATAGTTCTTTAAATTGTGCTCAAAGAAAAAAAATTGCAGCATTCGGGAAAACCGAAGAGCTTAAGTGAAATCTTCACTGAGGAAACTGAATGCAATCGACGATAAGTCTTCTCGTATCATGGCTAGCCATGGATGTTCGGATACCCACTTCATGTGTCTGACATAAACTTCATTTTGGAATGCTTTCTGAGTTGGATTAACTCGCCTTGATTTCATAACAAATGATCACACGTGAATATAATTTGAACAGATTTAAGTATTTTCGAAAATTGTTTTTTTTAGCGGGTCACGTGTGTATGAAGTCTCTGGCCATAGTTCAGTTGATGGGAGTGGACAGACTGACCAATGGACTGGGCTACTGTCTCTTGTTCATGGGGTTGGCGGCCATGCTGGGGGGACCATTGCTAGGTAGGAACGGCGGGTTGTTTTAAATTTGTTCTCATCTAGCCTCAAATATCGTGCTTTTAAAAGTTAAGTTATCATCACATTTTAAGACACCCAAAGAGGCTTTAAATATAAGCATTTCGTTTCAAGTTCTTTTGGTTCACGCTGAAATTCAAAAAATCTAATTGCAAAGCTAATTCGCAAGGTGTACTTAGTGAATATTGTCGACGAGGAAGATTGGGTTGTTGATAGAAATTTAAGAAAAAGTGACCTTGAACTGTTGTGGAGATGGTATGTATCCTAAAATTTTTAATTTAAAGCGTTAAGTTACCAGGTTGAGCTCTAGATCTGCTTATTAATTTTGTAGTTATCGAAAAGCAAAATATTTTAAAAAAATCTTGGAATGTTTTAGTTCTGTCGCCAACCGATTCTTGCTCATGCTCAAGTTGTTCTGTTCTAAACAACATTTATGATACAATTTTCATTACTTTTCAGGTCTGCTCTACAACGAAGAGTCCAAGTCTTACATGCTGTGTTTTGTGTTCGCCGGGGTCCTCCTAATTCTCGGGGGACTTCTAGGCCTGCCCATGCAAACCATCTCAACTTGGCAGAAGAGCCGAATGGAGAGACGCCGACCAGGAAGGAACCGACAGATTGTGCTGAACAACCCACGTGACGAACGAACCACTACCGCAAATTTGGATGTATAGACGAAAAAAGTTATTTTGTAATCAAATCAAAAAAGCAATAAAAATCGAGTTTGAAACTCAAGTAATGTGGCATTTTAGTATAATTGTTATTGAACTTTTCAAAAGTTTGATAATGTTTAAATTCAAACTCAAGTACTGTCAGAAAACCCCAAAAAGCGTTTTCAAAATGGCTTCGAAGAAATAAAACACAAAGGTGCTAGAGTCTAATTATAATGAAATGGGATTAAAGTTAAGTTTTTATTCTAAAAAAGAAAAAAATCGGATGCAAAAAATACATACATTTTAACAATGAAAAGTTATAACAACTGACGAACCTGTAAACAACAAGTTGCTAGATTTTTTGCATCAGATTTAACTGATAGACGCGTTATTATATATTTTCATTAGATGTATAGTTTGATATGAATGCCATTACATATGTAGCTTGACACTTTAGATGATTTTATATATGCATACTATAGATGTTTTAGCATAACACCAAAAAAGTTGCGCGCTCACAAACAATGTTGTTTTCAATGTAATTAAGTCTGAGCAAGTGAATAGAAAAAGCAAGACTGATCGTAACAGTGGACAGCCGTGAATTTTCCCAATGCCCTTCAAAGTGCTTAGAGTAAATTTTGCTTAAAAACATTTGAAGCAGTTTTCAAGCGAAAATGAAAAAAATTGAAAATATTTTCCGTTTATTTTCCAAAAATCTTTCTCAGAGACAATGTCTAGTAACGCAAAATTTGGATCACTAAATTTTGCCTCAAATTAATTTAGAATGGATTCTGAGCCGGATAATGGCCAGGGTTAAGACTAGGTTTATATCGCTGCCTTCGCTACTTGTTTACAGATTTCCTGGAATTTCGTGCAAATCAATTAGCCCAAATTAGCATTTTTCAAACCCGATAATATCTTACGGAAAACTTTTTCAAGCGTATACATAATTATAGAAAAAAATATACAAGTTTATAATGGCGTGGGATGAACAAAAATTAAGAATCCACGACACCGCAGTAATGAGCGCAATGATTGCATGTGTTCTAAATGATATTGACCGTTTTCTATTTTGTTCCGTTAGATTAACTGGCATAAGGCCTCAGTAGGCTTTAAAAGTATATATCGTTTGGCTCAGTGGGTTAAAAAAAGTAAGAGCTTGATGCGAATGTGGGCCTGAAAGGAACCGAATGCCTCCACCACTACGGGCATTGCTGACATCGGGTAATTCCACTTGGAGGTAAAAACTAAGAGATTTAACTGTAGAAAACAAAATACAGCCAACAAACTATTGGAATTCAATGATTTCAGGCAAACCAAAAATGTCATAGGCTCTTTTCAACTTCCCCGACATGTCAAAATTTCTATTTTCAATAGTTGTTTTAAGTGATTTTGGGTCTTATGCACTAAACGGCCCAATTTCATTATTTCTACATCTAGCTGAAATTATTTTGGATGAGTTTGGTTGGCTAATTAGCCAATCAAGTTCCATCGACATTTTCTGCCATTTCAATTGAAATTTCAAGCAGATAAAATTATTAGCCGAAATGATAAAAAAAATTAAATTTTGTTTTGTCAAGCCATTTTACTGAATTTTGCTTGTCTGGGCAAGGTTTCACAAGTGACTCAAAATTAATTCCACCTTTTCGGCAACTTCGGCTAATATTTTTATCTGCTAGAAAAGTTGATCGGAATGCCTGACTGTGTAACTTGAAATTGATTGGCTAAAATTACCCAATCAAACTTGATTGCGTGATTTCCAGCTCATGATGTAGAAAAAATGATTTTGGGCCGTTTAGTGCATAAGACCCGTGATTTTATGGCTAGATGCGTTACTTTACGATTTAGCTTATGACGCGCAAATGTGCATCCATAACCGTTAATTTGTGCATCACACCATGTTTCATTGCATTATAGCAATGTTTAAAAAGAAATAAATTTAAAAATGATAGATTGTTGTTTGTGAAAACTTTTAAGCTACTGAGTTGCAAAAAAATAACGCTTCTTTCCTTTTCCTCCCACCTTGCATGAGCATCAAGTTTATGGCGCAACGAGTGGTTTTACAAGGAAGGTGTCCGCACTGACAAAAAAAGGTATCAGTTTTAAAAGTTGATCCCAGGTTGATTTTAAATCAATCCGAATCGTTTAACAAGGTACTTTTTAGGAACTGAAATGGTTTTATATTGATTTAAAATGATCATTCTTGAAAATTTGGGATTGATTTAAGTGTCTAAAAAATAGCTTTGAATTAATTTGTATGGATTTTTCGACACACTAAAATCCATCCAAATCTCACTTAGTCAATTTGAATCCATTTTAAAAGACCCCTGATCAGATCGATTTACCCGGATTGACAAAAAAATGTATCATACATTTTCATGCTATGAAAAAAAATGATTATAATAGTTTCGCATACAATTTCACGGACTCAGAAAACAGTATGAAAAGAGCAAAACTAAAAAGCGTTTCAATTGATTTCTGAAAACTGTAAATTACGAAAAAAAAATGTAAAATCATGCAAAATAAACTTAACAAAGTCAGGAAGGAAAAAAGGCTTTACAGACCTAACTTCAGCATGCAATGTAAACATATTGCTGCTCATTGCTTTCGTATGGTGGGCTCCACTCTAAAAAAAACTTGAAAAAAGGATGTTAAACATCGAGACGAATTGGGACTTTGGATCACTTGCGATAAATTGCAAGTTCAGCAATGCAAATTAGTGACTATGAAATGAAACAATAAAAATCAAATAAAAAAACTTTGACGACAAATTGAATATACTTTCAGAAAAACAAAAGAGCCAAGAAACACAACTACCAGATTTAAATAACCTCACAAAATTTATTGATTCGCCCATCGCCAAAAAAATTTGAGCAATTGAATGTTAAAATTTTGAAGTTTTCCAACACAAACTACATGAATTTTCTCACGAAAAAACAATCAGTTTTGCCTTTTAAAACAAAACAAATAAAATAACTAGGCCAAAAAAAAACAAACATTTTTTAAAGCCGAATAAATCTTTTAAGCAAAAAAAAACGGAAAAACAAGGAAGCTTTGAAAGTCATAGCTTTTAATTTTACAAAATAACGACATAAATGGAAAACTCTTGCATGTACAATGAAAATCGCTGACAGCCTAAAAAAAACTTCAATTGAGGCAACTAAGCTTATAAAAAATTAGCAGAAAAAAATTACAGTTCAAATTTTTTCGCGAAAAAAAATCAATTTCAAACAAACTGAAAAAAACAAGGTCCGACCGGGACTCGCTACCCAATAGCGAATTGCGGAGGAAGCAACTCGAATCAACTCTAAAGATTTGTAAGAAAACTTGTTGACGGGGAAAAGGTTTAATTTCTGATTAGAAGGCACTTGCTTTTGCAAATGTACACACCAAAAAAAAATCAAATACTTTTTGTTTTGAAAAGGCACACTAATTGATGAAAATTTTAGTACCCATGAGCATTACTACAAGAAACTTTTATAATATTTAAAGTAGAAGCTAAAAAGCAAACTTCAACATCGCTGTAATCCGGTATGAATTTGGATTTTTTGATTTTGTTTTTCTTATTCTGAAGTGAAGAGATACAGAAGTTGCAAGTTTTAGTTTCCAAGCAATAATTTTAATAAAATTTTCTTCACGTTTCTGCCGTTTTTTCTACAACTACTAGATTTTTACGGTTGAAGTTTTAACATTAGCTTTCAAACGCATTTTTTAAAGTCCAAAACTTCAAAGTGCTTCTGCTTTTATGGAATGTTTTGGCATATGGAATGCTTTTTCGACCTCTTTTTAAAAAATGGTTAAACAAATCCTTGAAAACAACTTCTGACGTTTTTATTTGGTTATATTCTGATAAACAACTTCATCCATTATATGAAGATTTTTAGCTGTTCACATCTAATAGTTATAGAGCCAACGGGAGAAACATGAACAGATTTCGCGTTCATACCATCGCATGAAAACCAGAAGTAACTTCTAAGCACAGTGACACAGTGACTGCAACTCCTATTGCCATAAATTTTAGTTCGAAGAGCGTAGAAACTTGCCTACAGTTTGCTGAAAATTAAAGTTTTTTTTTGTCTTTACGTTTTGTTCAGTTGAACTTCAAAATGAAATTCATTCTAATAGAAGTTTTACCAAAAAGATTTTTCTCGGCTAATTGCAAGGCATTTGTCTACATAGTTTGTAAAATGACATACAGAAAAAACATACTTTGAAAAAAAACTTATATTCAATTAAAATAATTTTATTAAAACTAATTTACCTAATTTGTCTAAAATTGAAGATCGAAGAGTAACTGGTAGTTTTTGGTGACTCCTGTTTTTTTTTCTCATTTGTCCATAATCAGTAAACCATAATCATTTATATTTCTATTGACCCATTAGAGATTTTTAGAAACAAACGTTTTGTATTTTATTTACAGAAAAGGCTTATTGTTCAGTTGGTATACTAAGAAACAAACGTTAGGCACTGTCAGTTCAATGTCCGTGTGCACGTCATATAGGGGTCGTATTTGGTAGATGTTAGATGGACAAGAAATCTACTAATCGTGGAATTGTATGTAGGCTCTAAATTTTTCATCTCTGACTGCTTAATTAAGTGGTTTACAAAAATGTCTGTAGCAAACTGTGTAAAAAATGTTTCATGGATTCTCTTGAATGAGGAAATATAAATCGAAAACAAAGCAATGCTTTTTTCTGAAAAACGACATGAAAAAATCTCAAGCACTGTTCCGTCAATATATATACTACTGGCAGTGTTTTAAAATTTGTCTGTATCGTTCTGTAACCTTTATAACCCAAGCACCAACAAAGGTGAAGGCTATGAAACGATATGCATCTTCTCGTGAACTCGAAGCTCGAAACCAAGCAGGATAACCATATAAGAGTGCTGGTATAACTTATGGTTGTGATAGAAAATACTTGATCCCACAGGAAGTAGTGACGGGGATACTGTGTCTCAGGTAGTGGAAACGTTTTGTGACTTTATTGAGTATAACTCCCGTGTGTTCGTCCTACAAATGGGCAACAAATTCTAGACCAAGATGAGTTACGAATTTCTCAAACTCCATCAAACCTTATAGGATGCTGGGATTGCCACTGATCTGAGCCTTAAAATGAATCAAATTTAATTTAGATTCGTTAAAAGTAGCCATTGCCAGCTTAGCAGCGACCCAGATTTTCGGAATCATGTTGCAACTTGCTGAAAAAAAGACCTCTGGATCGATGCAATTTTCTATCATCTGCGAAGCAAAAAAACTTTGATATAATTGAGAAGGAAGACAGAGTACATCAAAAAAGTTGATAAACATCAAGGATAGCCGGTTACTGAAATTAGACGAAAAATCAAAAGTTTCAAACCTGTTTTTCTCGAATTAGCTTTTCTCGTTTTAGTATGTTTTATCACTCAACCCAACCAGATGATTATTTGTGATTCCTTATACTGCGTGGAATAAAACTAAAGTACATCCGACTATAAAAATCCTCCCCGTTTAGAATAAGAGACCCAATACTTTTCCCCAGGAAACG